TTAATGCCATTGTAACTCATGAGTTGTATTTGAGTCATATTAATTCTCCTACAAAACGGATACCATTTTTTTTAATTAATGAGTTAGTTGCTGCAATATAGTTAATTCAAAACAAATAGTGCTATAAGAGTCATATTGATCCTCCTAAATAAAACATTTACCAAATTTTGGGTTTTATTTGATGAATAGTTGCTGTAATTTAATTAATCCCAAATAAATATTAGGGTAATTATATTACCACTACGAATTTTATTATATTCACCACAATTTTTAATATTTTTCTTATTTAATTGAATGCCCTTAAGTAAAATTACATAATTAGGGTTTTAATTTAATTTCTTAATTAAAAAATTATTATTCCACCGCAAACATAAACCTACTTTTTTTCTTTCTTTTACCTTAACATCTGAATGCGCGTAACTTTTCGGTCATAGAAGAAAATGCCTTGTGTAATTAAGTTTTTTTTATAAGTGGAAAGAGAGATATCTTCAATTTATTGTATAATCACATAAGAAGAAAAGGATTTGAATTTATACTCTATTTCTTTTCATGTAATCACATAAGATGGATTTTTCGCTTCTGGGACACCCATTAGTAACACCACATAGGGTTTGACTTCCCCCTTTCTTATTCTTCTTTATCTTCCCCTTCTTTGGAAAAAGCAATTACGAAAAAATAGTTACAATTTTCAGAATAGAATGAAAGGATGAGAAAAATGAGTAATATTGGGACGAGGTATACGCCACAATGTTGTCTTTTTTATGCTTTTTTAATTTTTAGTTTTGATTGCATCACAAGTATATTTTTAAATTTGTTTTAGCGTATTTAGAACATGTTTGAGCCCCTTTTTTTTTTTGGTCCAAAATGCATTTCAGAATAGTATTTTGATTGAAAATATATGTTTAGAAAATAAGAAAAAAAATTTGGTTTTATATACAATATTATTTTATTGAAGAACGTGTGGTCGAAAATAAAAAAGAGAAAAATATATTTTTGAAATAATGGAGAGCAAACAAAAGCTGAAATTAGTGTAGTAAGTAAAATTTGTGATGATAATATAATTACACTAGATAATATGAGAGGATGTTGCTTATTAAAGTCAGTTACAAATTATGAAGTAAGAGAAGCAAATATGACCCTCATAATATCCAGAAGAAACCAAAAACGGCATTTAAGGTAAGACCAAAAAAACAAAAAAAAAAAAAACCATCTTATGCATAAAATAAAAAAAATCCCTTCGTACTTTTTCCAAAGCAAACATGTTCTATAAATGCAATAGACTTGATTTTTATAGTGGAAACGACCTCCACCATCTTCATTAACCGTTTCATTCATATCTTGCAGAACTCAATACGAGGAAGAAACACACCAAAATAGTAGAGCAGTTCCATCATATGTCTCATCGGATTAAACATTACACCAAAAAACACCATTTGCAACACATAAAAGGCAACATTCGGTAGTTAAATGTTGCTAAAAGGGATCTATCACAACATTTTAATAGGTGAATGTTGCCATTACTTAACAAAATTGAGCTTTGACAATATTTTTTAAGTGAATGTTGCTTTTTTGCAACGTTTTTTTAATGTTGCGAAATTTTTTATTTTTTGAACGTTTTTTAAACGTTGGAAAAGTTTTATCTTCCTCAACATCTAAAAAATGTTGCAAAAAACACTCTTGCGAAATTTTTTATTTTTTGCAACTTTTTTAAACGTTGGGAAAGTTTTATCTTCCGCAACCTCTAAAAAACGTTGCAAAAAACGCTCTTCACAATTTTTTTCCTGATATTAGCAAAGTTGCAAAAATCCACGCCCCTTTAAATCTACCCTCACTTTTCCTCCCCCTCACTTTTCCTCCTCTCGTCTCCGCCTCTCATACCTTCTTCCCCCAAATCTCTATCTTCTTCAATTGGGAGCTTATATTCGTGCAGATTTCACCCCGTTAAGAAATGATGTTAATGGAGAAGCAATATTGAACTCTGAGCTATATTGTTTCCACTTCTTGTAATGGAGAAGCAAAGTAGCATCGAGGCTTGTACATTTGGTACAAATTGATCACTTGACTGCCTTGGTTTTTTGGATAAGGTCTGGCACTTTAATCCACTAAGTTTCTTGTCTGTCAAGTTGGGCTCATTTTCGAGTTTTGCTATATATATTAGGGTATTTGGGGCTCTCTTTAAAATCCAAGATTTTTTTGTTAATTTTGATGCCTGTGAGGGACAATGACACAGGAAGAACATATGCCAAGGTGCAGTTTCAGTACTGGAGAGGCCGGTTGTGTTAACCTCGGAGATGGAGGTGGTGGAGTAGGAGGGGTGGATGATGGTAGTGGTGGTGGTAGTAGATCAAAGAAGATTAAGCAAAAAAGAGTCCCACAAAGAGGATTAGGGGTTGCCCAGCTGTAATTTTCCAGTAAAGTTTGCATCTTTATCTCTTTTCTCGGAATATATGGTTATGTTTGAATTTCACAAGGGATTTCCCTTTGTATCTTGATAGATTGTGTTTTCTTTGTTGTTTCAATTGGCAGAGATAAATGGCCACACAATTAGTCAAAGAACGGACTGCAATTCAGCAGTTTCCTGCAGCTAGCCAGGGCAGATTGCTCTAACTGTTGGGGAAATTAAAGCAGGAGGTTCTGGTTTTCCCTCTTAAATTTAGCATATTTTCACTACATGATGCAATCCGTTGGTCACTAAAAAAATGGGCTTTACAGAAAATAATTAATGAAATTAGAATCTCTATGACTTTATCGTGTGCTCAACTTGAAAAGAAACATGTTTTACAATCTCATTATGATTGGTTTGTGGATATGTTGAAAATTAGTGGGTTTTGTATTTTCAGAATGCTGTTTTCGTTGATGATTGATATTTTCGGTTTATAATGTGTTTTTTCAGGTGATTTATGAGTTGGGAGCCGGGGGTGTAGACGAGAGGCGTTTGGTTGGTGCCAAGTTAGAGAAGCTGGCTGAGGGCGAGTCAGGTAAATATTGCACTTTGCAAAATTACACATGCGTTGGGCAATATGCTTGGTCAATTTGTATATTTATATACACCAATTTGAACATCTACTATAGATAAGAATGATAAAAAATCTCAACTGAATGGTTGTTAATGGATTTTCAAGTAGGGAAATCTTAGCTCCTTTTTGGACGTGAGGGAGTGCCATAAATTTCTTGTGCATACGACAGTTCTAGAGTCATCTGATTGTTCATTGTGTGTTAGGAATCTGTTTACTTTGTGAGGGAAATCTTAGCATGTTGTTTTCACTCGTCTATTTTACAAAGGCCAATTACTTTAAAAATGCAATCATTGTGGTAAATAATGAAAAAAAAAAATTTGTTTCGGTAGTGGAGGCATTGCTAATATTATATCTGTTGTCCTTTCGTTTTGTCTATAAGAGCTGAGGAAAACCCACTGAAGCTATACGGGGTGGGAGGTATAACTACAACCTTTCGAGTTCTTTGCAACCTTCGTTGCTTCTTTTTGTTAAACTTGAGGCTGGTTTATGGCACATGGTTCTAGTGTTAAACAGATTAGCTTTTATGATGACGACGTACACAATTGGCAACTTTGGCGTAATCGATCTGCTGCTGCTGAAGCTCCACCGGCTGTGAGTAATGTCACCTCGGCTTTTAGTTCTCCTGCTCCATCAACAAAAGGACGCCATTTTCTGGTCATATGTTGTGAGAATAAAGCTATTTTTCTGGAGGTATATTGGTGAAGAAGAAAACATGGATAGGGAAGACATCAAGATGTTAGTCAACAAGTGAATTCCTTTGTTTTTGAGCTCATTATGAGTATGGTCATAATCATTTCTGAATTTTGGCAGCATTATGTAATATTGAGTTAGCTACATTGTTGCGTTTTTTATATCGCAAGTCTACGATATCGTAACAAGTAATATAGTGGACATTTGAGTCCGGATTATCCTTTTCACGAGGACTATACTTTAGGTATTAATTAGATTTTTCTAACTCTTATTTGAAAAAAAACAAGTAAATAATTATGA